GGGAGGCGAGCTCCAGCCTGCGGGCAGCCCGTGCACCTTCTCTGGCTCTGTGGCCAGCCGCGAGGCCGGGAGGCCGGGCGGCCTCCCTCCCGTTTCCCGGGTGTCAGGGGCCTCACCTGCTGCTGCCTGCCTTTGCGGGGGGAGGAAGTGTGAGGGGGCCTCTCTCGACCCCAGGCGTCCCCTGGGCTGGAAGCCTGCTCAGAAAGCAGTGGGAAAATCCAGACGGTGTGTGGCGTCCCCGGGGGAGGCAGAAAAGGAAGCAGAGTCCCCAGGCGGGCTCCGGGGAGTCCAGATCCCAGCTCGCTGGAGCCTCTTCAAAGGTTTTCCATCAGGCTGTTTGTTGTTCTGAGTATCCCCGCCCCCCACCCCCATTTTTTTCCTGCTTCCCTTATCCTGTCCCTAACCCCATGCTTGTAAATCCTGGCGTGCAGACATCATCTTTGAGAGTGGTGACTTTGGCTCCACGGTTCCAAGGAGGCTTTCCTGGATTTATTTCGGACGGCTGTGTCGGTCTTTCCGCTCGGGATCTCACTGAATCTCTGCAGTTTCCATGGTTGCAAGATAAATCGATCATTGCTAACCTCCGGGTGGGGCAGAGGGGGAGGGTGCTGCTGCCCAGAGCATCAGGCGTTGCTGTGGTAACATGACAGCATCCACACAGAGCTTTCTAGCACCTCCAGGCAGAACCTGCATAGAGACCCGGTTCCTATTTTTCTTCGTGTCTACAATTCAAGCTCCACTTGGTCCATTCCTTCTCCTCGACAGATGTTCTGCAGCGATTACACGCTCAGTCCTGTGCTGGCCGCCAGGAACGGGCACAGGGAGCACCAGGCGAATGGGAGCGGACACCAGGGTTTGTTGAGCACCTACTGTGTGCCAGACGCTCGGCGCCTGGCATGCTTTGTTTGTTTTTATTGGTGTTGTTGTTTTTGTTTTTTGAGTTGGAGTCTCACTCTGTCACCCAGACCGGAGTGCAGCCTGACAAGGCTTTGACAATAGGTCCCGTGGTACAGATGCAAATACTAAAGCTCCGCGAGATTAATTTGCCCAGGGCCCACACGTCAACAGCAGGGAGGAGAACTGGGTTGCAAATCTGGGCCTGAGTTTCTGCACAGCCACTGGGTTTTCCAGCTTGTTGCATCATCCTGAGAAAGACACACCGTGAGGGACGGGACATGCATATTTCAAAGGAATTCCTCTCTCCCCCCCCTCCCCTCCCCCGGGGAGTGGTCTCCCCACAGTGCCTGTCTCACGGCGCTTGCGGCTTACAGTGATGCATTGCGTCCTGTGCTGGTCTGCCCTCCCTAAGGGTGGGACTTGACTTTACCTCTGCAGTGTTGGGCTGGAGTGAATGCTCTGGGCGTGTCCGGTGGCCACCAGGTGTGTGTGACCGTCACCTTCCCCACACAGTCTTTCCCTCCGCCGTGGACGCTTTGCAGAGAAACGTTAGTGCATCCATCCGCGTGTTCGGCACCAGTTGTGTCAGCCTCCGTGTCGGGCACGGGGCCAGGGATGCTGGGGACAAAGTTGGATGGGACGTGGATTTTCTTTTGGGTGCTTATGGAGTAAGAGAGAAATGCTGGGCCAGGCCCAGACCCAGTGCTGGGAATGCCTCTGGGTTGAGGAAGGTGCCCAGCACATAGTAGGACCTCAGTAAGTACTTGCTAGGCGGTTGGATGAGGATGAGACAAGAAGTATGTTCGTGAAGACACAGGAAAAGACAGCGAATGCAAGGTGCCTTTCCTGCTGGACACCTGTCACCCTTGGAGCTGAATTAGAACTATAGGCACATTACCCCGATGGTGCTGGAAATAAGAATTTTCTAGGTGGAGCGGCGTGGAGGTAAGGAAGCCCAGGATATATTTGGAGTCCTTCAGAGAGCAGGAGGGCTGGGAAAGAGAGGCCAGGGCCGGGTTCTGACTGTTGGACTGAAAAGTTCATCCTTAATCAGGAGGCATCGGGAGCCACTGCAGGTCATTGAGCAAGGGAATGGCATATAGTTAAGCAACGTCTTGGGAAAACCCAGATCCTGTAGGGGACAGAAGCTGGAGAGATGGGCGGGGCCGGGAGAGCTGGCAGGCATGTTTCACCGAAGTGAATGAAGCCAGGTCCCTGTCACTCCAAAGCCCAATCGTCTCTTCTCCCCCCATGTTATGAACGTGATTCCTGTTTTCGGCTTAAGACCCAGAGCGTGTTAGCCATTTTAGAAAGATTTTCCTCTCAGAAGCTAAGCATTAAAAAAGACGTTTCTTGGATGCGCAGCGTGGACACCCGTCATCCGGCAGATCCTCTTACCCAGAGGTGCCCTCCCTGGCGTGGGAGGCCGTGTGGCGGTGTGGTGCAGGCTGCAGGTGCCGGAGGCCCGAACACTCAGCTCACGGCCCCATCTCCGAGCCCTGGGGGCTCCCAGCTGCCCTCTCCCGCCTTGGAAACTCCCCAGCCCCACACAAAACAGCCCTGGGTCCCTGGAGACTCTGTGAACAGGGACGGGGGCATCTGCTTCTCTATGGCCAGAAGCAGCCAGGAGTCCAGGGGCCAGCCAGACCCCCATGAGGCCGGGGGAAAGGGAAGTATCACAGACCTTTAGAACTGAGTCCAGGGTCTCCGTGCCGTTGCTGGGGTAGCTGTGTCCAAAGACGACCGCCCCCCATACCCAGTCTAGAGCTAAGGTCTGATTCCCCACCCACTACATCTGGGCTGGCCTTGGTGACTTTCTTGGCCAACAGAATGCAGTGTTCATGACATTTTAGGACACGCATGTCCAACTTGAGACCGTGGGCCACGTGCGACCCAGGACAGCTAGTCATGCAGCCCCACAAAATCTTTTTTTTTTTTTTTT